ATGACGACAGGACGTCATGACACTTCAGCACGAATCTCCCGCATGACCACAATATCATTACCATACTTAAGAATACTAACAGTAATTCCATAATATTATCTCCAAACTTCCTGAGGCTTCCCCAAGACGTCTTTTATAGCTTTATAGTTCACCCCATCCCAATCCAAGTTCCAATTAAGTTTTATTCATTGTATTTAGTTGTTATGTCTCTTTTAATCCACAATGGTCCCCCATCATTTTTGTTTCCCAGAACATTATCTGAAGAGTGCCAACCAGTCGTCCTGTAGAATGTCTTTTTAAGATTTGAATCATTATTTTCTCATAGTGTCATTTAACATGTCTCTAGATTTCCATTCTTTCAGATAAACTAGCAATTAAGTCTTGATTGGATTCAAGTTATTTTTGGGATGAGCTCATCACAGGTGATGCTGTGAATTTCTTATTGCATCGCATCAGAAGAAACACAATGTCAGGCTGTCCTGCCCTCCGTGATGCTAAGTTTGATGGGAGTGATTACCAAATCTCTGCTGTAATAATACATTTCCCTTTTGAATGAGAATGTATAAATATCCTATTTATTAGCAACTTTTACCCCAACAGTTTTAGCACCCACTGATAACCTTTATCTGAATTAATTATTACCTTGGGGATTGGATGATGGTGATTTCCAAAGTTTATCACTCCTTCTACATTTATTAGTTCATAGTATTCTGTAAAGTGGAGAAGAGGTTTCCTTTTATTTCCTCCTCCCTTTTTCGTCATCACTATGGATACATGGATTTCTTTTTTTTTTTTAATGTTTATTCATTATTGAGCGATGGAGAGGTAGAGCATGAGCAGGGGAGGGGCAGAGACAGGAGGAGACACAGAATCCGAAGCAGGCTCCAGGCTCCGAGCTGTCCGCACAGAGCCCGATGTGGGCTCGAACTCACAAACCGCGAGATCATGACCTGAGCCAAAGTTGGATGCTCAACCGACTGAGCCACCCAGGCGCCCCAGGATACATGGATTTCTGTTGTTAAATCAATTCCGTTCATTATCCTTTGTGATGCCCAAATTATACCAAGTTTGGCCAGTGGAAAGGGATTTAAGTTGGCTCCCGTGACCTGGCATGACCTCGTTAGACTGTGAGTACTTCCTATGGGTATCTCTGGTTTTAAAAGTTATTTATATGATGTTTATTGCTGAAATTCCTGTAACATCTGCCCATTGGTTTTAGTTCTTTTGTTTAGTCCTTTTATTTCTTCCATGTGGAATGTTGTGTTACTTAAGCACAAATATTACACTCGGGGTTGGAGCATTTCTATTAAGTCACTCCACTAACATTTCATGAGCACATAAATCGTTAATGTAGACCTGCCCATATACTCACTTCATCCCTAATCTCACACTTTAGGATGTCCATTACAATTATTATTGGCTCAATTTCTTTTTTTTTAACGTTTATTTATTTTTGACAGAGAGAGAGTGAACATGAGCAGGGGAGGGGCAGAGAGAGAAGGAGACGGGATCCGAAGCAGGCTCTGCACTGACAGCAGCAGGCCTGATGTGGGGCTCAAGCTCACGAACCATGAGATCATGACCTAAGCTGAAGTCAGATGCTCAACCGACTGAGCCACCCAGGTGCCCCTGCTGATTCAATTTCTGAAACCTGCTGAGAGTTTAAAGGCTTATTTTCAAGGTTCCATCAGAATGCTCCCATGTCAAAACAGTTGCATCAAAGGAACTAGGACATCTGTACTCTGAAAGCTATAAAACACTGATGAAAGAAACTGAAGATGAAACAAAGAAATGGAAAAATATGCCATGCTCATGAATTGGAATAACCAATATAATATTGTTAAAATGTCCATACTACTCAAAGAAATCTACAGATTTAATGCAATCCCTATTAAATACTAACAACATTTTTCACAGAAACTAATCTTAAAATGTGTATGAAACCACAAAAGACCCTGAATGGCCAAAGCAATCCTGAAAAAGAAGAAGAGGGGCACCTAGCTGGTTCAGTCAGAGGAGCATGCGACTCTTGATCTCGCGGTCATGAGTTCAAGCCCCACGTGGGGTGTAGAGATGACTTAAATAAATAAAACTTAAAAAAAAGAAAAAGGTGAATACAGCTGGAGGTATCTCAATCTCAGATTTCAACATATGCTACAAAGCTATAGATAATCAAAACAGTATGGTACTGGCACAAAAATAGACACACAGGTCAATGGAATAGAATAGAGTCCAGAAATAAACCCATGCTTATATAGGCAATTAATCTATGACAAAGAAAGCAAGAATATACAATGGGGAAAAGACAGTCTCTTCAACAAACAGTGTTGGGAAAAGCGGACAGCTACATGCAAAAGAATGAAACTGGACCACTTTCTTTTTTTAAAATTTTTTTGAAATGTTTTTATTTATTTTTGAAGGAGAGAGAGAGAGAGACAGAGCATGAGCAGGGGAGGAGCAGAGAGAGAGAGGGAGACACAGAATTCGAAGCAGGCTCCAGGCTCTAAGCTGTCAGCACAGAACCAGATGCGGGGCTCGAACTCACAAACTGTGAGATCATGACCTTAGCCGAAGTTGGATGCTTAACTGACTGAGCCACCCAGGCGCCCCAGAAACTGGACCACTTTCTTACACCATACACAAAAATAAACTCACAGTGGATTAAAGACCTAAATGTGAGACCTGAAACCATAAAACTAGTAGAAGACATAGGCAGTCATTTCTTTGACATCAGCCATAGAAACATTTTTCTAGGTATGTTTCCTCAGGCAAGAAAAACAAAAGCAACAAAATAAAAAGGCAGCCTACTGAATGAGAGGAGATATTTGCAGATGAATATCTGATAAGGGGCTAATATCCAAAATATATAAAGTTCCTATGCAACTCAACAGCAAAAAGTGAAATAACCCAATTAAAAATGGACAGAGGACCTGAACAGACATTTTTCCAAAGAGGACACACAGATGACCAACAGACACATGAAAAGATGCTCAATATCACTGATCATCAGGAAAATGCAAATTAAAACCACAATGAGATATCACCTTACACCTGTCAGAATGGCTAAAATCGAAAGCACAAGAAATAACAAGCATTGGTGAGGATGTGGGGAAAAAGGAACCCTCAGGCACTGTTGGTGGAAAGCAAACTGGTATAGCCACTGTGGAAGACCATATGGAGGTTCCTCAAAAAGTTAAAAACAGAACTTCCCTATGATCCAGTAACTGCGCTTCTGCGTGTTGACCCGAAAAACACAAAAACCCTATAATTCATACATACACCTCTATGTATACATTATTTATAGCAACATTATTTATAATAGCCAAATTATGGAAGCGGCCCAAGTGTCCATCAATAGATGCATGAATAAAGGAGATGTGGTGTGTGTGTGTGTGTGTGTGTGTGTGTGTGTGTGTATGCATACATACGCACATATAACATGGAATACTACTCAACCATAAAAAGAATGAAATCTTGCCATTTGCAACATGGATGGAGCTAGAGGGTATAATACTAAGTGAAACAAGTCAGCCAGAGAAAGATAACTACCCTATGATTTTACTTATATGTGGCATTTAAGAAAACAAAGAGAAAAAAGACAAAAAAAAAAAAAAACCCAGCCTCTTAAATACAGAACACTGGTGGTTGCCAAAGGGGAGGGGGAGTGGGGAAAGGAGTGAAATAGATAAAGGAGATTAAGAGTACACTTATCATGATGAGCACTGAGAAATATACAGAATTGTTGAATCGTTATGCTGTACACTTGAAACTAACATAACACTGTATGTTAATTATACTTAAAAAAAAAAAAAAAGGAGCCAGGTCATAATTTCTGATATATATACTCTATAGTAGATGCAGGCACTGGGTTAGAGCAAATCCTTCATATTGCTACAGTAACCACAAAGGTGTATGAAGTACTGTATTAATGGCTGAGTCATACCCAGCATTAGCCATTAAAATTCTCCCAACAAGCCTCCAACATTTTCACATAGGTTTCACGGTTATTACAATTTATACATAAAAAGCATGTAAATGCAGACATGCCATCTTTTCAGGGTATATTCCATCAGCACGGCATATTACTACACATATTGGCTCCAGCCAGTCAAGAAGAGCCTGATGAATCTTGAGCAAACCATGTCCCTGCTCTGACGGACAAACAGAACTCTGTCCTTTAGAATCGGTATACCTTCAAATACATGTAGGCAGATATAACCCTTCAGGAGGGCACACAAATTCCAGTTCCTCTGTTTGCAGACATGTTTTCAGTATCTGAACTTTATTGGTGGCATTTGTCCACTGGGGAAAACAATCCTAATTATGCATGGAAAGTTAATCATATTAAATACATAAAATAGTATACCATTTTGTTTATATTTCTTATTTCCTTTCCAGTAGGGTCAAAGCACACTAAAGCAGAAAGAATCCTTATAAAGTGCTTTGTAACTCTGTACCGGGAGAACAAAACAGTCACTCACTGTAGTTCAATACAATAAGAATTAGAAATAACAAAATATATAATAATGAAATGTGACATTCAAGTACTAACATGACAGAATAGGGGGAAAAGACCTACTGCCTAATTTCTAGTTAGTTACACAGGGATTTTTGAATGATGTGAAATTCTGACTTTTTTTTTTAATGTTTATGTTTGAGAGAGAGACACACACACAGTGAGAGCAGGGGAGGGGCAGAGAGAGAGAGTGAGGGGGAGACACAGAATCCGAAGCAGGCTCCAGGTTCTGAGCTGTCAGCACAGAGCCCAACGTGGGGCTTGAACCGAAGGACTACGAGATCATGGCCTGAGCCAAAGTTGGACGCTTAACCGACTGGGTCACCCAGGCGCCCCAACATTTTTGCCAGTTGTGAATAGTAACAGGAAAAAAAACAAAAACAAGAAAAAGAAGGCAATGTAAGAGAAATGCTAAGGGCAAGAGTAGTTCTAATCATGCATCAGGAGGATAACCACACAAGTACACCAATCATCCAGAAGGTACCTTTACTCAGCAGAGGAAGGAAGTCAGGTGCTTTCTCCCCAAAAACTCTCTGAGCGTCTTCAGCTTTCATTGACACTTCCTTGGTTTGAACTAGGAAGAATCCTTTACCAACCATCTGTGGAAAATAAAGTTTCGTTTGGATTTTAAAATGAACTTCTGAGATTAAAACAGTATTTTCCTCTTCTAGCATTTTTCGACATAAAACCGTGACACAGCATGCTGATGTTTGTTTGAATCAGCACTCTGATTCAGGGCGTTTGCTCTAACAAGTTTTCACATATGCAAGATTTTTCCAGATGGGTGTTTCTGGTTAAGAATCAGTGTGTGGTGCGTAAGGAGTTTGGTGACACATGCAAACGTCCAGTGAGAATGGTTAAGTAAGTAAACTAGGGTGCATTCATCACATGATGAAATAGCACAGTTCATGAAATATAACATACGACAAAAGGGGGAAGAGCTTAAGTAATAATTTTGAAAAGCATGATACAGATGTATACAGTAGAGCACAATAATAATAGACTACATTTATGGAGCACTTACTGTGTGCCAGGCAATTTTATGCACTTTATATATGTGTAACACATTTAATCCTCTCGTGTGGTAGGTGCTATTATTACCCTCATCGTACAGGTGAGGAAACTAAGGCACAGAGTGGCCAAGAAATTTACCCAAGGTCACACAGCTATAAAGTAAGAGAACTGTGATTCGAACCCTGTTAATCTGCTTATAGACTAAATAAATTAAAGATTATTCCTAAAAAGACTATTCAAGATAGAGTACGTTATGGATGGTTTTTAAGTTTATTTCTACTCTTCTTCATTGCTACAATACTGTACAAGGAGTACACGTTGATTTTTTTTAACGTTTATTCATTTTTGAGAGACAGAGCGTGAGCAAGGAAGGAGAGGGAGGGAGACACAGGATCTGAAGCCACAAGTACACGTTGATTTTTAAAATAACTATTAAAGTAGTTTTTAAAAATTGCACAGAATTCAACCACTTAGTTTTTTTTTAGCAAAGTCTCTTAGATTTTTAAGTATAAAAGTAGCATGCATGGGGGCACCTGGGTGGCTCAGTCGGTTAAGCACCCAACTTCAGCTCAGGTCATGATCTTGTGGTTCATGGGTTTGAGCCCCGCGTCCGGCTCTGTGCTGACCGCTCGGAGCCTGGAGCCTGCTTCGGGTTCTGTGTCTCCCTCTGTCTCTGCCCCTCCCCCCCTCTCAAAAATAAACATTAAAAAAATTTTTAAGTAACATGTATGCTCAATACAGAACACTTGAAAAATAAAAAATAGAAACAAATATGAACCAAGGTGCTATCACTCAAAGATGCCCCTGCCATATAGGTATACTTCCTTTTATCCTCCCAGTGTTCGTTTTCCCCCCATTACAGAAATGACCCCTGTTCATTGCAAAACCCATATAACTGCAAAAAAGAGAAGAAAGTCCTGCTCTGAATCCACTTCCTAAGAATAACCACAACTGCTAACATTTTAGTATATATCACTTCCCGGACTGAGATCTCAAAAAAAAAAAAATAATAATAATAATAATTCAGATACTTATATGATATTCTACAAATCTTCCCTTACTTGACTGTGAATACTTCCCAGCTATTCCACTATAAAGTCAGTTTTAATGGCTCATCATATTTCACCCTATGGCTACCTACGTTATTCCATACTATTCCATCAAATTGGATTCAAACTCAAATCCTTTTGGAGAGCCTTCGATGCTGCCTCAGGAAAAAAAAAAAAAACATACATAAAAAAAGTAGCAGAAAAGTGCATGGGCATCACTGCCAGGTGATGACTGCAAAGTTACTTAAAATAGCAGGAATAATCCTACCTCTGTTTCTAATTTTCTAGAGAGCTCACTACCTCTACCTCTCATTTCATACTCAGACACATAAACTGACAAAAGATGATTAACTCAAAATACTGTTACCTAAAAACAAATAAGGGATTATGAAACTTGATCTATTTCGATATCTCACTGCAGATATCCAGAGACTCCTTTTTCATGGAAACTCTTCTACTCTTAAAGACTTGAAAATAGTGCTTAACTACCCAACTTTAAATTATGCAATACGTTACTTCCCAACATTTCAGACCACTTTTACATTAGTTTGTCCTGTGCGTATCTGTGATGTAGCCAAGAGGAAGCAAGAAATCTGACTTTTTAGGTGAGAAAATTGAGGCCCAGTAACTTCTCTTGATTCACTCTGGAATGTGTTTTCTGCTTCATCCAGCTTCTCTGGACTTCCTAGAGTAAAAAAACCCTTAGGATACATTCAATTTATAAAAATAATGTGAATCAAAATTCTGTGCTGGTCCTAGGGTTGAACATAACCAACCAGAGTCAGCAATCACAGTTCCAGTTGAGGCTGTCTTAAGGTATTTAGGTTATGGTATGAGAAAGACTCAAGGGTTGTTTGCTTGTTTTTTTCATCTCAGAATTAAGTAGCTCCTACACATATTTTCCTGGGAACTCGAGCTTCATTGAAAAAAAAAAAATGTAATCTCTCAGGGGGCCTGGGTGGCTCAGTCGGTTGAGCATCCGACTTCGGTTCAGGTCACGATCTCACAGTTTTCAGGTTCGAGCCCCACGTCAGGCTCTGGGCTGGCAGCTTGGAGCCTGGAGTCTGCTTCAGATTCTGTGCCTCCCTCTCCCTTTCCCTCTCTCTGCCCCTCCCCTGCTCATGTTCTGTCTCTCTCTCGCTCTCTCAAAAATAAACACTGAAAAGAATTTTTTTTTAAAAAAAGGGGGTGCCTGGGTGGTTCGGTCGGTTGGGTGGCCGGCTTCAGCTCAGGTCATGATCTTGCGGTCTGTGAGTTCGAGCCCCGTGTCGGGCTCTGTGCTGACGGCTCAGAGCCTGGAGCCTGCTTCCGATTCTGTGTCTCCCTCTCTCTCTGACCCTTCCCTGCTTGCTCTCTCTGTCTGTCTCTGTCTCTCCCCAAAATAATAAACATTAAAAAATTAAAATAAATAAATAAAATAAATATGTAATCTCTCTCTTAACATGTAAATTGGTGATCTTTTAGCATGTTTTAATACCCTCTTCACGTGTACTCGGTGTCTTCTTCGTTTTGTTCTTTTTAGTCCCTAATTCTGTGCTTTCGGAATTAGAGAGGGTAAGTCCAACCCGAAAGTCCCAGGGATTTTCCTTCTAGGCTGAAGGGTGGTATCTGCCTTGACTCCCCGTACTTCCTTCACATTCCTGCTCCACCAGGCACCTGTCAACTCTCCTCTACTGCTGAGGCAGCAGAGTAGCATCGGACTTCAGGGCTGAGACTGTGGTCTACAAAGCCAGGCTGCCTGGATTTAAATCATGGCTCTTGCTGTTTCCTGGCTGAGGGGCCTTTTGCCAGGTACCTACCCTCTCTGTGGCTCATTTTCCTTATCTGCAAAAAGGGAAATAAACGGCACCTATTTCATAGGTTACTCTAAGTCAAGTGAGTTACTTCATTTAAACCCCTTATAACGATACCTGGCATATGGTGAACACTACCTAAGCGTTAGCCATTATTATTGCTGTTGTTGCGTTTTTGTTTCAAACTCTTCTGTAATCCAGAAGGACATCTAAAGAACATCATTCTTCCTGGTCGTGTTGTTTTCAAGTGCACACGACACTGTCATTTCACACATCAGATACTGCAAGTGAAAAGGTAAAGAACATATGATGACTCGTGAGGAAAGACGGTGTTTGTTCTGATGGCATTTTTAAAAAATAAGTGTGCTATCCACTCCTTGTTACCCACCAAAAAGGAGTTTAACCTGAATAATGATATCTTCTGCAAACTGTATGTAGATTAAAAAAAAAAAATCACCATACAGGATAAAGCAAATACTGACTTCTCAGATGTTGGATTAACATATGTGACTAGATAGCTCGAAGGCCAGAAGTACTTTTCTATATCTTACCAGATTCACAGCATGTTTTTATCAGATTGGCATGAACAAAAAAGAAAATACCACAGTCTTAAATGTGCACTTTGGCTTCTGTTTTTTTTTTTTTTTTTTTTTTTAATTTTTTTTCAACGTTTATTTATTTTTGGGACAGAGAGAGACAGAGCATGAACGGGGGAGGAGCAGAGAGAGAGGGAGACACAGAATCGGAAACAGGTTCCAGGCTCTGAGCCATCAGCCCAGAGCCTGACGCGGGGCTCGAACTCCCGGACCGCGAGATCGTGACCTGGCTGAAGTCGGACGCTTAACCGACTGCGCCACCCAGGCGCCCCTGGCTTCTGTTGTTTTGAAAACTAGATTTCAGATATGCTTTATGGATTTCAGACACGGGTTTTCTACACTGTAGGATGTGTAGCCACAGAGAGGAGGTCATCTTTGGTGGGGCTTTTTTCCCTTATAATGTTCCTTTCGACAGAACTGTTACAATTTCTAGAAAATCCATGGGGTGCCCGGGTAGCTCAGTCAGTTGAGCATCCGACTTCGGCTCACGTCATGATCTCACGGTTCGTGGGTTCGAGCCCCACATCGGGCTCACTGCTGTCAGCCTGTCAGTGCAGACCCCGCTTCGGATTCCCTGTCCCCCTCTCTCTGCCCCTCCCTCGCTTGCACTCTCCCAAAAATAAATAAATATTTTTAAAAATCCAACCAAAAAGAGACTTGGTAAGTTTTCCATTCGCTGCTTCATTTCTGGAAGTCTGATTTTTAAATTCAAAGACTCCTTCTGAAGGATACCTGATTACTGGATAATTAATACAGCCTTCTGCTGTCTCCCCACTGGAGCACCCGCCAACACCGGAACTGCTGCTTCCTGGAGCCCCTCATCTCTCCGTCCCCAGGTATTCTGCAAGTGGGAGCCGCTCCCGATAGAACTCCTCTCTAGTCCCAAATTCACCAAGTCCCTGATCCTGAGCCCACAAGCTGCTATCCCAGCCCCCACCCTTGTTCTGACACACCAGCTGCCCCTTCACATAGCAACAGGGAAAAGGCGAGTGGTGTGGGGCTCGTTCCCACAGTCACGTCAGGGGCCAAAAGCTGTACGCTGAAATGTCTTTCCTACCTTCCCTAGCCAAACTCCTAATAAATGAGGCCAGGCTTTACTCTGCAGTACTACCTTTGTAAGCTTCCACGGCAATCATTTATTATAAAGAATGGAAGTTCTCTGGGGGCAGAGAATTTCGCCTATGTATCTCCATCTCCGGCACATGCCATATTTCATCAGCTTTAAGTTGCTGTCGATTGCAAGATGCATTTCAGACAAGCAAAAACGTGGAAAACAAATGTGCATCCTATAATCAATGAAATACGGTAACAGAGTAACTCTTCACACAGTTAAGTGCTTAATAAATGCTTGCTAAATTGGACTGTATTTTTATTTTAAAAAAAAAAATTTTTTTTTCAACGTTTATTTATTTTTTGGGACAGAGAGAGACAGAGCATGAATGGGGGAGGGGCAGAGAGAGAGGGAGACACAGAATCAGAAACAGGCTCCAGGCTCTGAGCCATCAGCCCAGAGCCTGACACGGGGCTCGAACTCACGGACCGTGAGATCATGACCTGGGTGGCTGAAGTCGGACGCTTAACCGACTGCGCCACCCAGGCGCCCCGTGGACTGTATTTTTAAAAGTTTCTTTGGGAAAGTATTTTGAGGCCCAGAGGACTATAACTTAAGAGCTGCCTGTATTTCTCTTTTTTTAAACGTTTTATCTATTTTTGAGGGCAAGTAAGTGGAGGCAGGGCAGAGAGAGGGAGAGAGAGGATCTGAAGCGGGCTCTGCGCTGACAGCAGCGAGCCCGATGCGGGGCTCAAACTCCCGAAGTTCGAGTTCCTGAGCCGAAGTCGGACACCCAACTGACTGAGCCACTCAGGTGCCCCAAGGACTGCCTGTATTTCTACCAGCCAATTTGAAAAGAAAGTTCTCCAGAAAGTGGTGTGCTTCTACCTAGGTGTGTGTCTGTTTCTCTGGTCTCTCTCCTTACCTCATCAATTAGTTTTCTGGCATTTGCGATTGTATAATCGCCAGCAAATAATACCACCAAGCAGGATTCATCACTGCTCTTCGGCCTCTGACCTCGAGACACTGGAACGATACTTCTGTTGGCTTCTGTGGAAATGCGGACAGCTTTGAGCTCTTCGGTGGCAGGGAGAGGAACATGGTCTTGAACCACGGCACCTTCTGGAAGAAGGCTCCAGTTGAGTTCTCCTGACACAGGCGTGAAGTCATGAATGTTGCTCCAGGTGTTGTTGAAGATACTTAGCCCTGCGTCTTTGAACTGGAACGCTAGCTCAGGGTAGTACCACTGGAAACAGCCAAACCTGATGTTTGTGGAAGACTCAATGATGGGCTGAGTGGCACAGCACAGAAAGACTTCCAGCTTCCTACAGTCCCTCACACGGAACTGCTGGCAGGCTAACGTGCATTTGCAATCTCTGCAATTCCGGAAAAACACGCTGCCTTTCACAGGTCCCAGGAAAATCACGCAGTTAGCACAGTCATCGATAGTGATTGTAGCCGAGTGATCAAAAATATAGATGTTACAGTTCTCACAGTCCTGAATGAGGAACTGTTGTCCTGCCACTTGGCCAGGCAAGCGACCTACTGTTTCATCCTTCAGTCCGCTGAACATGTAGTCTTTTGGATCAACCTGCAGGGACAAAACACAGGCCTTGAGTATTATCAATAGCATCAGACAAATAATAGTCCGATAGAGTATAGTCCGATAGTCAAGTGTCTACTGGATCCCAGGCACAATTCTTAAGTGCTAAAATCTTAAGTTCCTACTCTCCCCGACTTTGCAACATAGTAAGAAAATGAAGAGCGCAAATTATTTTTTTCAATAAATAAAAGGAATGGGGGGGGCAGAAGGGAGAGGAGACCGTGATAAAGGAAGATTCAAGGACACATCAGCCAACCAATGTGGGGACACCGTTTGGATCCTGTTTCAACATACTAACTGTAACAATACCTTTTGGAAACGATTGGGGAAATCCTCCTACACACAGCACTTTGGATGTTATTAAGGGATATTTCAGCTCTGACCCTTTTTCTGTTTCTGATGCTTCACTTTTTTGGTTTTTATTTTTTTAATTCAAGTATAGTTAACACATAGCATCATATTAGTTTCAGGTGTACAATATGATTCAACAATTCTATACATTATATCAGGATAAATGTGCTCTTCATCCCCTTTATCTATTTCACCCATCACCCCCCCCCCACCTCCCCTCTGGCAGCTTCCAGTTTGTCCTCCATATTTAAGAGGCTGGGTTTCTGTTGGTCTCTTTTTTTTTTCTTTATTCATTTGTTTTTGCTTCTCAAATTCCACAAGTGGAAATTTGAAACAGCTTCTGCTTCTCTAAAAACTTCTGAAATTGGAGATAGGCCCAGATTGAAATATATTTCTCTATCCTTCAATAAACTGATGGATGGGTCTTAGTTTCTAAACCCCGACTGATTTCTGCAATACGCTACAGAAACTGGAAGAAGGCACAAGAATCACTCTATGTCATAACTTGCATCTGTAAATGTGATTCAAACATATCTTGAGCTTTTCCTACAGTGTAATTCTTCAAATGCCACCATTCCCATCTTTTACATATTCTAAACTAAAGCTCACATCACGTTTTAAACAGTATGCCTGGAATCCGTCACATTACATATTTTAAAGTTCTAACTGACCGCTCAAAATAGAGTCACAAAAAGGTCACTTTGATTTTTCCAAATTACTTTTGAGTCTACTTGCACTATTTTACCTCTTTGCAAATATTAGATTTCACGCCAAAACTGTTCATGTGCCAGAAATAGACTCCCTTACAGTAGGCAAAAATTGGATTATTCACAAAGGTTAACTTAATCATCTTGATTGTTACCAAACTAGCTTAAAGTGATTTATTCGGTATTGCACAATAAATGTACTTTTTCAGTTTTACATTACGTACTAGAAGGAGTACTCGTCTGTAGCATGAAACAATAAAAGAGGCCCTTTGTTTCCCAGTCTTAATTCTGTCACCTATAAGCAACATGATTTGGAAAAGGTGCTTGAACTTTCCAGATCTTCAGTCATTCAGCCAACATCTGACCAACACCCAAAATGAGCTAGATATTCTTTTAGGCACTAACATGAGTATGATGTTTAGTTACTTCCCATAAAAAAAAAAAAGTAAACACTCACCTAAACAGATGATTTAAAAACAACTTGGCTGTGCAATGCACGATGCCTAGAATATTCTGGAAACATAGAGGAGGGACTCCAGGGGTGGGGGATGTAGGGGTGTAAGACTTCACATACGAAGTCAGAGTACACGAGCTGGAGTTCACCCCCACAAAAGGGGTGGGAGTAAAGGACCCTCCCTTCCCACACCAGGCAAAAGTGAAAGAATGAACAAAATAAAACTCATCAGAGAACGTGAGGAAAACCGAAAGCGGTTTGGTGTTTAGCTGTGATACTAGAAGGCTAGCAGATGAAGCTAGAGAGGTAGGCAGGGGCCATGTTATAAAGCCTGGAAGTCATCTGTGGGCAACAGGGTGCCACAGGAGGATTTACGTAAGGAAAATGTGCATTTCGGAAAGATGACTCTGATCGGAATAAGGAGGCGGAGCACGGATCTGAAGATTGTTGCAGTCGTCCAGAAAGTGCTGGAAGCAGAGTGGTGGTTGGGAGGGAAGAGGAAGACGGGATACATTTGAGAACTATTGAGGAAGTAGAATCGACCGACTTGGTAATTCAATGGCTGTAGGAGGGAAGGCAGAGGGACGGGTCCAAAATGATGCCTAGTTCTCTAGTCGGTGATTTTCGACTTTTCCGACTATAATCCACGTTAGTAGATTCTTCAGCACAGCCCAGCACACATACTTGTGAGTATTTGTGCATGTACACATACCGAGGAAGTAAAAGCTTCACAAATAATATTTACCCTAATTTTGGGGTAAACCCCGAACGTTTTCTATTATCCCACCTCTAGGTTTGAAAAAACATTGCTCTGGTTTATGTGCTTGGATGTTGGTAGTGTCATACACACACAAAACAAACAAACAAACAAACAAACAAACAAACAAAAAACAGAGAGAGAGAAAGAAAAGAAAAAATATAGAGGCAACACAGGTTTAATGTGGAAAGAAGTGTTCAAGCAGTTCTATTTCTAGGACGTTACAGGTGACGCACGTATATCAAGGTGCAATACTCCACAGTTTGGTCTCTACCAAGAAACCCAACTAGCATAGCTTCTGGCTCCCCTATTGCCCAAGATCAACCCCAAAGGGACTGAGTAAGGAAAACACCAAGAAAAAGGGAAACTAGGAGAAATCCCTGTGGTACAGTGTGGGAGGATAAAATAGAAAAGGAACCTCTAGGGTTTCTGCTCTTGCTTCTTCCTCCCCTAAATCTTGAGACAACAGTATTTCTCCCACACTTGCTGGGACTCAGACTTCAGGGCAGGGCAGAGTGAATTTAGGGCAGGGCAGAAACCCTGTGCTGGTGAAGAGCTGGGAAAAAATAGGTGGGGGTGGGGGGCACCCGGGTGGCTCACTCAGTTAAGCATCTGACTCTTGATTTTGGCTCAGGTCGTGATCTCACAGTTCATGGGTTTGAGCGAGTCAGGCTCTGTGCTGACAGTGTGGAGCCTGCTTGGGATTCTCCCTCTCCCTCTGCCCCTCCCTGGCTCATGCATGCTGGCACTCGCTCTCGCTCACGCATGCTCTCTCTCTCTCTCTCCCTCTCTCTTCCCTTCTCAAAATAAATAATAAAAAAATAGGTAGGAACTAACTATGACAATTGCCCAGGACTTCTCCAAACCCTCATAATTGGCAGATTAAAATCTAAGGAGTGTCTTTTTTCCCCTTCAGTTTCCTGGCTTTTATTTTATTTATTTTTTAAAAATATAATTTATTGGGGTGCCTGGGTGGCTCAGTCGGTTAAGCGTCTGACTTAAGCTCAGGTCATGATCTCACAGTCTGTGAGTTTGAGCCCCATGTCAGGCTCTGTGCTGACAGCTCAGAGCCTGGAGCCTGCTTAGGATTCGGTGTCTCCCTCTCTCTCTGCCCCTCCCCTGCTCGTGCTCTTTCTCTGTCTCAAAAATAAATAAAAACATTAAAATTAAAAAAAAATAAAATATAATTTATATGTAAAACATACAGTGTATACAGTGTGCTCTTGGCTCTGGGAGTAGATTCCCATGATTCATTGCTTACATACAACAACCCAGTGCTCATTCCAAGTGCCCTCCTCAATAATGCTGCTTCTCTCAACTACTGATTAGTCAAGCAGACCAAAAAAATGAAATCAACAATAATATATAAGATCTGAACCATACCATGAGAATAAGCCTGGGTTCTGCATCCAATAAATACAGTACACTCACAGTTTTCTTAAGGACATAAGAATGCTTTTTAAATAAATCATGTACTAGATCATAAAGCCTAAATAAATTTTAAATAATAGATAACTTACAGACTATGACATGGGACCAACATGTAATTAAGTTAAAAGTTAATAACAAGGGGTGCCTGGGTGGCTCAGTCGGTCGAGCATCTGACTCTTGACTTCAGCTCAGGTCATGATCCCACAGTACTGGGTTCAAGCCCCACATTGGGCTCTGTGCTTACAGTGAGGAGCTTGCTTGGGATTCTCTCCCTCTCCCTCTCTCTCTGTCCCTCCCCTGCTCTCTCAAAATAAATAAATAAACTTAAAAAGTTAATAACAAAAAATAATTTTAAAAATTCTTGCCTACTGGGGCGCCTGGGTGGCTCAGTCAGTTGAGTGACCGCCTTCAGCTCAGGTCATGACTTCACAGTTTGTGAGTTCGAGCCCTATGTCGGGCTCTGTGCTGACAGCTCAGAGCCTGGAGCCTGCTTCTGATTCTGAGTCTTCCTCTCGCTCTCTGCCCCTCCCCCACTCATGCTCTGTCTCTCTCTCAGAAATAAACATAAAACAATTAAAAAAAA